GGTACCTGGAATTGGAGCATTAACACTTCAATTCCAGTACTCGATGTTTTGATGTGGAACTGGAAACCAAAAAAAAACATAAAACCACGATAGTGCTTGCAGGACAAATTACCATCCATTGAAGACCTCATGCCGGAGACTTTGGACACCCATCAGTCAAAGCTATTCCAGGGACAGTGGGGGGTCTAATATCAGGCGCAGAGCCTGTTCACACCAGGCATGTTGCTGGGGCTGTGTCCCCAACCCGTGCTGGTGTCCCCTGGAGACAGCATCTCTCAGGGAGGCATGCTCTGCTGGCTGTGATCTTTCCCAAAGCCACTGGATAGTACACAAGAGGAGTCAGCTCTCCTGCTGCTCACTTCACCCCTCCATCCCTGACTGCCTTATCCCCAACACCCAGGCTGCCTTGCTATTACTGGATGTCCCTTTAAAGTACCCCCAGATGCGGTGTGAAAGGCAGTGATGTATAGCCTATTCTAAAGAAAGATCTGCCTCTGTTCAGAAACTTCCCTGACCTCTTGGCTGAAGAAGAACAAAATAACGTATTAACAAAAACACAGTTGGCTGCCAAAGAAAAGGAGTTCCTGTAAGGACTGAAACAATAAATCTCCTCCGTGCTGAACTCCCAGAGGGAGTATGCTGTGTTTCCTCCTGTTCTTTATCAAAGTCCCCAAAATAAGCAGGAATGGGCAGTGACTAGGCACGGTCTCCATGGAGTAATTAGGGCCCACGGCAGTGCACAGGAGCACTCCCTGCCCAGCTGTGTGCGGGAGAGCTGCCTGCCACCACCCAGCATGGAGCTCCTGAGGACTGTCTGCCTCCTCCTTGCTGCGCTCTGTACCTGCGCTCTGTGTCGTAAGTTTTTGGGCTTTTTTCAGCTCAGTTTGTCAGTGTTTTGCAAGCGGAGGCTTAGCTGGCAGGACCTGTGGGTAGTTTTTGTTCAGAGTTTTTTGGGAGCTCGGGGTTTTTTGTTATTGTAATGCAGTGACTGAAAGACCACGTGCTGGAGTAGAAGGCACTTGCTGGTAGCGGAGCTGTGTGTGAAAGAAAACTTTCCTGCCATTGTACTTTTGGTGACAGCTTCCTTTCTGGGCATCGTGGAGCTAGCTCCTCAGTGTGAGGGGAGTTAAAAGCAGTGTGTTAACTAATCCTCTCTGTTCTGTTTTCCTTTGCTGAACTGAAGCATCTGTTGTAGAGAGGGCTTAAAGAGGAGGGGGTTGAAATGTCTGTCAGGTTTTGGGAACGCTGCTTTTGCAGATCGTGCCTATCCTGGTGGATGTCCCTGGTCTGTACTAGCAGTAATTCTGGCTAGGGGTTATTCTTGGGAACAGGCTCGTTTCTCTCAGAGAAATGGGGTCTTAGGGCATTTATCATGTGCCAAGTAATAAGGGATGCAAGCCTGAGGACCGAGTGTAGTATCTTTTAAAAGCGATTCTGAGATGTGCAGATTGAACCAAGCCTGTCTGTGTTCACATGGTCACTGAACTGCTACTTGCACTATTGGTCAGCGTGAGAGATTTGCTTTTAAGCTTTAACTAGTAAATCCTGGAAGGGTGAGAGAAACCGTAACAATGACAAGAGTCTATCGTCATCATTGTCAGAAGGTGCTTTTTAAGTCAAATCTGCATTCCATCCATGCTTTAACTTGCCAACCCTGTGGTGTGCATACGCATAACCAGAGTTGTACATTGCCTCTAAATGATTTTGTGAGTCAGAAGTTAAAAATAACACCAGGTTAACTGCTCAGTTAGTGAACTTATGCTTAGATGATGTGGTGAAATCTAGACATGTCTTTTGTGGTATAGATTATGTTACTGTCTAGGCTTACCACTGTTAGAAAAAAAAAAAAAAATCAATGCATGAGATTAAAAATAACATAGTGCCAGAGAAAGAAATGCTTCTAAAACTATGTTAAGTAAATATGAGACCTGAAAGTCTGCGCTGAGATACTATATTTTCTCTGTCTGCTACTCCCAGTAAAAATAGCCTTCCTGTCATTGTTAAACCTTTAATTTCACAACTTCTGAAAAGCAAAGCCGAGCTGGATCAAAAGGAACGTATATAAGACAAGAGACCATAAAGTTTATCAGAAGGCAGCACACAGGGGTGGGAGGAACTCTGTCAGTTTTAAGCAACGCTTTCTTTAAAAAGGATTTTCCCTTCTCTTTGTGGTATGAGTGGGGCAGAAAAAATGATGGTGAATAAGCAAATTTCCCATAGGGCACGTTTGCTCTGTAACTTTGTATTCCACTTTATTTAAGAGTTTTATTGCAAGAGAATAGTAATAATTCTGTTGGTGAACTCACACGAGGAAATCAAAAATACATGTTTGGCTATATGTCTCTTTCTGCATCATTCAAGTAAAAGAATACAATCTGGTCAAAAGTCCTTTCTTCTGTGCCGTCATTAACACTGAATAATGAAAGCTGGCAGCCTGGACTTCTACAGTTTACTACCTGGTAAAGCAGAAACAGTTTTATGCAGTTTTATTGTCTAACTTATCCAGTTGGACAGGCCAAAATCATTGGATTTCCACTATTTGTGATCACCGAGGTATTCTGTAGATCTGGGCTGCAACTGTGGGACCTAATTATCTGGAAAAAGGATGGCTCACAAGGAGGCTGACACTGGCCTCCTGGGTGTGCGGTCTCCCTGTTCTGTGCAGCAAGGCATTGCTCCAGTTGCTTAGAAACACCTTTAGAATTTTAAAATTATGCTCAGTAAAAGGGGGAAAAAAAAAAAAAGGAAAAAAGGAAAAAAAAAAAAAAGAGGGTCAGATCACACTCAAGCATTTTAATACTCTCCCAGGTTTAGGAGCAGTTTATCTCAAAGTTTGCCAGGATGAACACTGTGTGTGTTTGCATCCTTTTCACACAAAACACACAAGCTGCCTGTCTTTGCATCATCTGCAAGCCATGCAGAGGTGGATCAGAGTGTTTCCATAGTGCTTAGCAAAGGCTGTGCCCAGGCTTCTGCAGAGCTTCTGAATCTTACGCCTTGCCTTCAGCCTGAGTGAGGGTAGGGCTTTCTTGATAATTTTCTAACTCACCTTGGAATCTTGCATCTTCAGAGTCCCTCTGTGAGGGTGGAATCTACCCTCTGCCAGCATGTTACTGGAGCTGGTTTGTGTGTAGATGGGGAGGCTAAGGGCTTTCTGACACCCTCTTCCTTCTCTCTGGGCTTTTCCCCATTTTTAAGAGCAAAATAATGAACTGTAGGCAGGAGTTCTTTCCTGATCATCTCAATATGCTCTGCCCCAGCATATTGCCCTCCATTTTTCCCTGCTCCAAAATGCTTCTCAAATAGAAATACTTTCAGGATCAGTTCAGGACATTTCCAGCTTTAAGCAACAAAGCACTAGAATGGGTCTTAATTACCAAAGGTCAGTGATCAGACATAAAAGCTTATCTTTCTTTGTGATGCGTTGGTAGTACAACACAGCTTCCTTCCAGCCGGGGCATCCAGGTTTCTCTCCTACACAGATGACAGCAGAAAATATAGGGCTAGTGCTCATCTTAGCATCAGCCTGGAGGTGTTCAGGTTCTGCACACTGCAACATGCTGCCTGGCACTGTGGGTGCACCATGGATGAGCCTATTAATGTTTGATTAGTGACCCCTGTTGACGGTGAGCAGTACCTTTGCTGCCTGCGAAACTGATGGCACTATGAAATAAAACAAAGGCACTTTCCTCTTTGGGAGCAAAACGGCGTGGAGAGTCTGGAGCTGCTCCTTAAACTGTGGAACAACCCTGAGCTAAGCACTTCCCAACTCTTTCCTGTTAGGGGATGCTGTAGTGCCTGGGGTATTACCCTGACCCCATCACGCCCTGGTTATGACACCCCAAGGGAAGTCCCACCAGAGCAGGGTTCCCGTAGCAAGCACATGCATTTGCAGTTGCCTGAGCTCTGCTTTGCTCAGTGTTAACTAGAGGAGATGGATAGCCTTCCCTTTTCCACCTCAGCTCACATGTCTTCAAGTCCTTAAAAAAATAAAAAATTCTGTACTAAGTTAACAATTTTGAGCAGTTAGAGTTCCTGAGCAGGGGTCCCCACTCTCTGGTTATTTTTTGTGACTGTGCTCTGGGGGAGACCAAAAGTGTGCAGGCTGTCATATCCAGATCATGCTTGTCTCTGAAAATGTGAGAAGTATGAATAGGGTCTAGATAGCTGCCTTTTCATACTGGAACCCAAACTTGAATGTCTTGAGAGTTTGCCTGTTGTGGAGAAAAAAAAAGTCTTTGAGGTATTTCCGTCACTTCTAGCAGTCTGCAAAGAAAACCATGTGTTCTAGCCCCAAACCTGAATGCAAGTTTGCTACATTTACTGAGGAGATGAGCAGATGGCTTAATACCTGCTTGATAAGAAGAGAGTGATTTGCAGCAAAAATAAACAGCAACTGATAGCAAAGGGCACGTTGCCCGCAGCGTTCAGCTGCAAACCTGGATGCATAACGCTATATAACAGACTCAACAATGGTTTTCTCATCTGAAAATGTACTAGTATGTTTTCTTTTTTGGTTAGCTGTTTCTTTCATCTAAATTAGCAACAATCCTCGGTCTTTTCAAATAAGGATGAAAGACTTGCTGAAGCTTGTACTTTGTCTTGTTTTTCTAAATAGGAAAGGACCTTGACTTCTGCCTTCATTTTTATGTATTTATTTTTCTAATATCTATTTGGGCCCTGTGCAGAAAAACCTGCAAAAACACCAATGAAAAATAATCTTTACAAAATTTTCAGCCTGAGGAGGGGAGCACTTTGGACTGGTACCTCTTGGTAGCCAGACTAACATCCCAGTCCAAAGGGAAGTCAATTCCCACATCACAATCCTGTGGAGAAGGCGTCATCACTTCTGTTTCTCATGAGGAGGGGCTTTTTTGTCTGTATTTTCTGCTGAGACAGACTCAAGAAAGACCCTGTAACAGTTTTATTTGACAATTCTGTAGATAAAGAGAGTGTACTCGATTTGTGTATGGATAGCAGCTGTTATTTCTAATTACAAGTCAGGAATTACAGACCTGGCTTTGCTAGAAGATAAACATTTACTTTTGGGTTCAGCTAGAACTCTAAAAATATGTATCCCAGATTTCAAGAGAGAAGTCAGAACCCCAAGTCATACCATGACCTGCCATGCAAACCACTGACATGTTCAGCAGAGTAGTGATGCTTGGCATTTGTCTTGCCAAGGTGAGCTCTTGGATGCCCTGTCACTGGCACACTGTGTCAGGCAGGCCAACCCACTGGAGATAACAAAAGGGAAGAAGTACTTTGACAAATCCGTGCTTATAACAGGGCAAGGATTTTCTAACTCTTTTTAAATGGACAGTGGATGCTTGCCTGACTTTGCTACAGGTGAAAATCCCAACCTATTTATCAACAGAGTATTTTCACAGCAGCTTTTAATCTCTTTTTCCAATGGCACTAACCTGCACCTGGGTGTTAGCTGCACACTTTAGATAGCAACGTGTCTCACGTCATTGAAACTGCAGAGCTGGTGGCACATGGTTGTGTGTAACATTTATCTGCTGCAACCTTTCTGCCTTGTCTTATCTCTCTCATGAAATTGCATGTTTTGCCAGTATGGGAGCTCTATCCTCACCTTGCTGTCTGAAGATTTCTACAAGATACATAATCATTTCCAAAGGCACAATCGGTTTGTCTTAATGCCTTGAGTTCCCAGGGTAGTACTTGGTTTGAGTCAATGTAATCAAATCTTTAGGATTAAATTAATTAAATCCCTGATTATATTAATGAGTTGTTTGTGCTTCCTGAAGATTTTTTCTTTCTTAATCTTCAGCAGGAGGTGGGTGCTATACTGGGGCTTGACAGGTTTGGCAAATGAGGTCACAACTAATAAG